GCTAGAGAAGATTATTGATGTTAAACTACAAATGCTTCTGGAAAGGAAAGAGCTGCTGCCAAAAGGTTTGGTAGTTACCGGCCATTAAAAGATACCTGATCAAATGCAGCACTTGATCTTGAGGATGCCTACAATAGAGTCAAATATGATATTTTGGTATCTGCACTCATGGAAAAGGGAGTTTGTCCCTGGCTTGTGAACTGGATAGCAGCTGTCTTGCATTCACATGTGGTTGCCCTTCGCCTGGGTACATGGACTTAAGAACCATATAATATAGCCTCGGAAACTACCCCGGGGTTCTGCAATGTCACCAGTGCTCTTTAATGTTTATACAAGCAAGATTGCAGAACTTGAAGCACCAGGTTTTGGAAGGAAACTGACATTTGCTGATGATGTTTCTGCATATAGGCAAGGGAGTGATAGACAACCGATAGCAAAAGAGCTGCAGGCAACTGTAGACAAAGTGACTGACTGGTGTGCAGAAATGGGTGCTGTCATCAACTCAGAAAAGGCGGCTGTTTTATGGTGCTCTCTGGACAATAGAATTGTAAGAGTTATTGTTCTAAGCCTCACAGTTAATAACAGTAATATCAAATGAGAAAGCAAAGTGTGGTACCTGGATATCACTTTCGATAGAAGCCTGTCCTATAGGGATTACATAGAGGCTGTTGTAGTGAAATGCCAAAAAGAACTCAGTGCTCTCAAGATTATGGCAGCAATGGACATGTAACAAAGAATGTTGTTCACAGTGTTCCAGCATGTGATCCTGTCGGTGGTAGATTATGGACTTGGAATGCTCACCATATCGAAGAGTCAGCTGATAAAACTCGAACGCATACAGAATGAAGCCATGCTGGTAATTCTGGGGTGTACAAGAGATACCCTGGTAGTATGTATGTGATATATACTTGCACTGCCTACTATTGCAGATAGGCTCAAAGTTCTGCAGGCAAAGTCATATCTCAGAGTAGCCGCAGACAAGTAGCACCTCCTGCAAGAAGCCCTGGGTAGAGCTAAGGGTCACAGAATAAAATGAGGTAGGTCTTGGATGGTGCAAGCTGAAGACACAATTTGACATGTGTACAGCCTTGATAAATTTGAGCGAGAAGAGCAGTGGGCCAAAGTGTCCAAACAAGTTTCAGACTTGTGTAGGGTTCTTATCACTTTAGGTCGTGAGTGCAGAGACTGGCCAGCTGGTGCTGCAGAATCAGAAGTTCAACAAATGATTCATGATAATTCGCGCCCAAGTCATGTGATTATCTTTACAGATGGCTCTGTGTTGAGGGGCAGATGAAGTGCATGGGAGTTCAAAACAAAGGCGAATGGATGTCGCTTAGTGCCGCAAAGCCTCGCATATGATATCACAGTGTCTAGTTTGAGAATTGAGGTAGGGGCAGTATCTGCTGGCTTGAGAATCAGCTGTACACACATGTTGTGATTGTAACAGACTCACAGAGCATGTTGAGAAAGGTGAAGACAGGCATGCTTCTTGTAGAGTGGCAAGCAAGTCTTCATAGGTCCTGAGTAGTTAGCATCCTTTAGATGTTTTCTCATGGTTGTGCCGGTGTGCTGGGAAATGAGAAGGCAGAGAGACTGGCTGGCTCTGTGCCACTTGGTGGTGAATTGATGTATGACAAGTTAGAACGAATGAACAGTGCAGAGGTGCAGATAGATCGTTACAGTCTGAGGAGAATGGCGCTGCAGGGAGTTACTGGGGGATCTGGCCGATGCTCAACACTCAGGGAAAAGATGAGACAGATATGCAATCAGACGGTTACTGGTGCCATCAGAATTGGAACCCTTGCTGCTGAAGATGGTGACGGAGAACTTATGGGAATTTCCTGAGTGCTGTGATGTTGATTCTTAATTCAACATTCTTGTTGATGACACTGACAGTGACTGTTCCCATATTTCAGCAAATATAATATTTATATATTAAACTATATCTTGTCTGCTATGTGTCATGTGACCATCAGGAGTTCAGCGCATGGTAAAAATTTTTACATCTAGAGAAAGAACTTACTGAATATCGAAAATGAGAATTGGCAAATGTTGTGTCCATTCAACCCTATATAGAGTGCAGAAATGTGACAAATGTAGAAATAATTGAGCAAATTTGGGCCCTGGAGAAGCTGGTTACAGAATGAGGTTGTTTTCTTTTCACTCACCCCGAACAAAAGGAATCCTGAAATCCCCAGGAAAGTAAAATATTCTAGGGATGTTATGACACCTGACTTCGTTCGGTCTTCATACAATGTGTGAAAAAGATGTGTGCACTGGGTGGACAAACTGTCACTTAATATTAAGTAAATGCAATATTTTTTCCACAAACTGCTAATTTTTTGTGTGTGTAAATGAGTGTGAAACTTTCTTTCTTTATGTATGAATGAATGCTGGTTTTTGGGGGGGGGGGTTTTAATAGGGGTGGGGGGCTGAAAAGGAGCCAACAGTCTCCATGTTGAAACACTCGCCTGTCTCACGACTGACACCACCACCAAGTACCCGCTGCTGTGGGAAAACTGTCCCACCTGATTTTGTTTGCACCTCGTGAAGAGGGTGTCATCTATCTTGACAGTGGAATTGGGTCCGTCTAATAACTGTGGAATTGACTAGAAGTTTGTTGGCACAAACCTCCCATAGGTAATTGCTGCCGGTGACATACCTAACTCTAATTGGCAAAATTAAATGCTTGTCAACTCTTGAGACCAGAGTAGTACACAAAAAGAATGTAAGGCAGATGTGCGCGAGCCTTGCAGCCTCTGAGCGGGGTGTCCTGCCGACAGGGTCCTGATGCTCGGTCAGCAACAGCACCATGAGGTGATTCTTGGGGCAGCATCTGGCTGAATACAAGATGCCATGCTGCTGCAGAAAAGCATTGAACGCTGCTCTGCTTGTCATTCACCAATGCTGACAGGTCAAGGAAATTCATGGCTAAGTAACGAAGTAAAAACAATTTCCAAACAGGGGCAAAGGGGATGATGAATGAACAAAATAAACAATGAGATTAATGATGCAAAACACGCACACACACACACACACGCTGAGAATGGTGACACAATAAACACTGAAAATGTGTCTTCTGCTTTTTGCAATATATATTTCGTATCTTCCACCCTAATGATATCCTGGAAATAATTATCATTTATGGTATTAGACAGATGATCTCTAACTGAAATTCTAAGCTTCTTATCATTATGATCAGTGTGGATTATAAATTTCTGCAGAAATGTGATAGGCAGATCCTTTCTTTGCATCTGTCTGTGAGGTTTCCAGAACCTACCCAGGGATTTATCCCCTCCAATTTCGCTCATAAAATGTTCCTATTTAGCCTTTTTTGCACTGGCTCTTTCCAGCTTCTCTACATCTTCTTGTTCCCTGTGAGGCATCTTTCGCACTTTCTGTAATTATTTAACTGCTGCTCGCTTTGCTTTCCATGCCTGTTCTGCTTTTGGGGTTCACCATTTAGGTTGCACAAAATTGGAGGTGGTGGTTCTGTCGATGGCATCCTAGAAGAATACTGGCCCTCTCATAGTTAAGAGTTGCACGTTCTCATAGCCCCGATCTTGCTAGCTTCAGAAATCAAGACTGAGCATGGCATATGATCACTCCCATAATCGCCTAGGACACTCCATTTTGTGTCCTGCACTGCTGACTGGGTAACAAATGCCAAATCAATAGCCGTGTCTGCATCATCAGGTCTTGTTGCGATTCTAGTTGGCCTACCGTTGTTTATTCAGACTACTTCTGCATTTACTGTAGCCTCTGCTAGAGAATTGCCTTGTCTGTTTTCCCCATGCTCTGTTCTGCGCATTGAAATTCCCACAAATGAGAACCAGGGATTTCATTCAACTCTTTGAGCCAGTCCCAATGTTCCTTTGTGACGAGAGTGTCAACAGCAGTGTAAACATTTACTAAACTCAAGGTTGTGACCTCATTATCTATCTGTATACCCTGAATCTCTAGTGTACTGTGATTTCACTGGTCCAGGTCAAGAACCACATGCTTCACCCCATTCTTCACCAGCAGACATTGCTCATGTCTTCCCTGTCCAGTAGGATTTATATAACTTCTGCATCCAGGACACTCATATTTATCTATGTTTAATTCCTGAAGCATGCTAAGTGATTGATTGGATTGGCGCCTTTCTGTCTTTCCAGACGACAGTGTTAAATTGCCCTATGAGGAGGCATGGGACTCACAGCCCATGGCGAATGTGACTAGCAAGACCCACCCATGTAAAGAAAAGTCTTCCATGATGATAGCATGGGATTTCAGGACCATTGTTGTCAACATTTGTGTTTAATCCGTTTCTTTTCAGACGCTCAGCTCTTATCCTTTCTGCAATCATTTCTCCCATTACTTTAATTCCTTTCCTGATATGCCCTTTCCACACAACACAGTCCATTGCATTTTGTTCCCATAAGTCCACCTCAGTACCTTTATCATTCATGTCCCGCTTGCACACAACTTTATACCGTAGTAGAGCATGCAACTTAGGTCTCATAACTGCATGCAGCCTACCTACCACCCCCTGAAATTTTAGACTGTCCTGTGACCTGTGGATTTCCCCTGTTTGAGGTAGAATATTAATAAAGCACCGAAGTATCATCAGCAAAGTCCAGGTCATCAAGCTGTTTTGCAGTGACTTAGAGACAAGATTAGGAAATAGTATATCACTGTTGCACATCCACATAACCCTCAAACCCCCTGTGCTGCAATCTGATATTTTAGTGAAGCTGATGTCACATTTACTGATGTTCTTTGCCTACCTGTTTCAGTTGTCAACATATATTATTTTGTCATTCATCCCTTCCTGTCATAATTTTACTAGTCTTGAATTCTGTTTTTTCCTTCTTCAGGTTAATGACTGAAAAATTTACTTGTACTCGCTGATAAAAGTATAAGCCTAGTACCATGGTTCTTATACAAACAAAATAAGAGAATCAAATATTTTAACTAAAATCTTTGCCTCACTGCGGTCGTGAACCTGACAACGAAAAATGCTTATAAAGGAGTACAGAATATGCATGCCACTCACAGTTGATGAGGTAATTTATTTTTTTTTTTTCATTTTACTATTTGTGGTTGTTGTTTTTTTTACATTTAATTGTGTTTAAATGTTTGAAGTAAATACTGAAGACAATATATCCTCAATGTGTAGGTCTTTTTGCAGAATATTGCTTCCGTCATGACCAGTAAAGTATCCGTTGCCAGTTCACTTGCGTATATGATGCTAATACCAAACAGGGTCTCCTTGAACTTTGAACTTAATGAATATGCTTAAAAAAATCCAAGCTGGATTTATAAGACAAGAATGGATTGCAACACTAAGCACTTCACGAATATCTGTCCTAACCTTCATCTTTGTGCCAGGTCATGCGGGTGTATAAAGAAACGAGCATGCAGACTATCTTGCTGACACTGCGGTTGCTGGCCCAATGTTGGACAGAAGTGGATGTTATCAATGCCATGCGCTGCACTTACCGTACCGAGGAGCATGCCAAAGGACATAACTCCTTATCTCTGGACCATGGGTTGCAGCCTGGAGCTGCAATAAGAAGACAAAACATGTTATTAACTAACCCAGAACAGCTTTTGAGGAGGAGATCGGAGCATCTATGGATCTGTCCGGAGTGCTATGATGATAATCCTTTTTAATCACTAATCAGGGTCTCCTTGACTGATAACAGTGTTCTGTTCTAAGCAGTCATAAGTCGAACTGGTATTAAGTCAAATTTGTATTTTTCAACACTATTTGTCATGCTCAGTAGCATTGAAGAGACTGATGTCGAGCTGAGATCCTGCCTGGGTCTAATCTAGGCATTAATTTCAGGCACTTTTTGATGCTATCAATGTAGTTATCTGTTTAGTTTATCTGGGGGGGGGGGGGGGGGTTTAGATAAGGGAGGGGAGGGGGGCTGTTGGAAGTGTGGTTGCGGGTAAATAAAAAAATAAAGGTGAATTTTTTTAAGTGCTTGGGTGCAAACTTCAACTGCTCCAACATGCTGAGAGAAGAAATACAATCTAGAATACAATATGGAAATAAATTATACTATGCCCTTCAATAATTGCTAAAGTCAAAGTGTCTGTCTCGCAACATCAAGATCAAAATATATAGAACGTTGATAAGACGAGTCATTTTATATGACTCTGAAACTTGGAGCACAGCTGAAAGAGATGAAACCTTATTACAGGTTTTCGAAAACAGAGTCTACGACGAATCTTTGGACCCATCAAAAAAGCAAACAGCGGTAAATGGAGAGTGAGAAGCAACAACAAAATTCATAATCTGTTTAAATCACCACTGATCACTGGCATCATGAGAGCTAATAGACTGAAGTGGTTGGAGCATATTAAAAGAATGTCAGATGACAGAGAAGTAAAAACTGTATACACCAGGGAGATGAATGGTCGTAGACCACGAGGCAGACCAAGAAGACCACGGAGAGATCATGTCAGACAGACCTGCAAACACTTGGTGTCATCAACTGGAAAGAGAAGGCCAACCAGAGAGATGAATGGAGGCGGGTGATATCTGCAGCAATGAACCTCAAGGGATTGGAATGCGGAAGAAGAAGAAGTATTTTAAAAAACGTTTCAACACTCATCATGCCACACAACTTCTCCTTGTTCTCACCAGCTCTCTTTAGTTCAGATCAGGCTAAGTTAGAACTCAAATATTCTGATGTAATTGTTTCATGACATCCTCTTTCTTTTTCTAAGGAATTTCTCTAGTATTTTCAGTAGAATTCCTAAGTGTCTCAGTTTCTGGTCACACTTACGATTTTCTTGATCTTTTAGTGGTTGACTATGTCCATTGTTTTTCAGAATTTATTTATTTATCCTTTTTCTGTCCGGCTCAGTGTTGGAATAAGGCATACATAATTGATTAGCATCCCTAGAGAAACATCAAGCCTAAACTTTGTTTATGTAACCTATTTTCAGGATGCAAAGGTTGTGTTGCATAAGCAGATTTTTACTCATAGCTAAAAAAAAATCTTAACTTATTTCTGATTCAAGAATTAACAAACACCATGGCACACTCTGTATACCCATGGATGCTGTGTCTTTCAGGGTAATTTTAAGATGCAGATGCTGAGTCTTCCAGTAGCACAATGGTTGTGCATTTGTTGTACTCTTATGTCCTTTTTTGCTGGATCCACAATTAACTTTAAATTCTGGCCAACTTACTCATGTTTTGCATGTAACATTATCTTTTAGCATTCGTGTTATTTGTCTGTGTGTATTCATTATTCTATAATGTATATTTTTTTTTTTAAATTATATACATAACATGCATTATTGATAACAGTCATTGGTACTCTGAAAGATGAGTGCTTAGAAGGGCCAAATGTCAGACGGTTAGAAAACAGTCATTGGCACTCTGAAAGATGAGTGCTTAGCCAAATGTCAGACGGGCCTGCATGCCGGGCCTGTTCGACCTATCCGTGCTCTGTGCTCCAATGCAGCAAATCTTTAGCATTTGTTCAGGTGCATTCTTTGGAGCGTCATCCTTATCCGTTATGAACGTCTCTACAACTATCACTTTTGTAGCAACAATTAAAAAAATTGTTTATTGCCTCACACTCCTGCATATCTTCGACAGTATCTCCATATAAGTCCCTATAATGTTGAAAAGTGCTGGAATGCTTGGTATTCCTTGTCACATATGCACTACAGGTAGGTAGGTAGTTGTACCCCACCAGGACATCACACAAGCGATAAACACCCGGTCACACAAAGTGCCACCATGCGGATGAGGATCAACCGTGGAGGGGTCCCAGAAATCGCTTTCAGCCATTTGGTCATATTTATGGCCCGGCTATATTCAGGTCCCCTGGCAAAAGCCAGGGTGGGCCTTCAAAATAACAAAAGATTGCATCCCACGAGGGGACGACTATACTAGATATATATGCACTACATAATCTTCTCTACCTATGACTGAGCTCTGTTCCAACTAACAGGTCATAATTTGAACTGGTCATAAGTTAAATTTATATTTTTCATTTGCTGTTTTCATTCAAAAGGCCATACAAGTTGTACATAAAAAGCAAAAAATGCATTCTATTTGCTTATATTTATTGTATATAATGTGCAATGTACATAATGTGTAGTCTGTTTAATTAGGTTTGGAACATGTTTAATTTGCCAATGTAGTTATCTTTCTTTATTTACTGTTTTTCTTTCTTGGGGGGGGGGGGGGGGGTGGCAAAGGTGGGGGAGTCATACGTGCGGACGGTCGTAGGTCACATGGACCATAAGTCTCTCAGAAGATGACATTTTCAGTGTGCCAGGTGCTGACCTTTACCCTGTTGAAACAATATAAAGATGTAGATTATTTTCACATTTCCAGTACCGTATAGGACAACTATACATGATTGCAAAACACAGCCTAGAGCAGTCAGAGAAAGGAGAAGGGGTTGAGGTTGTCAAGAATGAAGAATGCTCAGACCCAGTTCATGGCCAAGGCAGATATACAGAGAAAAGAATTCACCTCTCAAGGTTAGTGACTTATCATTGACTTGATTATCATCAAGAGGGGGTCACCAATTTGTAGCGGCTAGATGCTCACGGGAAGGTCATGGCTTTATGTCATGGCGGAGCATGACTCTTTTCAGAATAGACATTGGTTCCAAGGTTGATCCAGCCTTAAATGGGTACCAAGTAAACTTCTGGAAAGTAAAGGCGACCAGCATGATGTGACCATATCACCCACCTAGTGCCAATTAGTCAAAAAATATAGGTATGATTTGATTTGATTCAAGAACCGACATCACAGCACTCGGGGCATTCCCATAAGGGCTCCGCCCCCATCTTCAGCAGCCATCGAAGAGTTACGATACGAATGGTGCCAGTAGCATTCTGATTAAACGTCCATCTTGCCTTTCCTCTGAGCCTTGAGCATCTGCCAGAACCTCTCGTCACTCCCCACTGCATCAATCTAACCAGACTGTGGTGATCCATCTGCTCCTCTGAACTGTACACGCTCTCCCACAAGGCACTAACCACGTCTGCCTTATCATGTATCAGTATTCCACTAAGTTGTGCAGAGCCAGCCAGTCTGTCCACCTGTTCATTCCCCCAACACACCGGCGTTCCACGGTGAAAAAATCCAGACAATACTCCTCACCTGTGTCCTCCGCAGCTAAGCATGCCACTCTGCACGAAGCATACTTGTTCTGATCTACCTCAGCATGCTTTCTGAATCAGTGACAATCACTATGTGTGTGTGTGTCGTGTTCTCTAGCCAGCGGAAAGCTGCAGTGACCGCCTCCACCTCCATTCTTAAGCTGGATGTTGTGGTATCATATGCTAGGCTCTCCTGTACCAAACATCGACCATTAGAATTTGCTAAGAAGCCCCAAGCAATTCTTTTGCCTCTTGACACTGAACCGTCTGTGTAAATGATCAAATCCTTTGAGCAAGCATTATCTTGAATTAATTGCTGAATTTCCACCCTTGTGGCACCTGCTGGCCAGTCTCTGCATTCCCGGCTCAGCGTGATTATGACTCTACACAAGTCTGACTGTTCAGGTGGCACTTTGATCCACTCTTCTCCTCGCCTAATGTTCTCAAGGATGCAAACCTGTCTGATTGTGTCTTCTGCCTGAGCCATCCATGACCTCCCTCTTATCAGCCGCTGACCCTTAACTGCACCCAGAGCTTCATGCAGAGGGTGGTCTGTGTCTGCAGCTACCCTGAGATATGACTTCGCCTGCAGCACTTTGTACCTACCTGCAACCGTCGGCAAACCAAGGATGTATCGCATACACACTACTGGGGTGTCTCTGGTGCAACCCAGAATGACCCGCATAGTCGCGTTCTGTATGCGCTCTAGTTTGTCTATCTGACTCTTTGAGACGGTAAGCAGTCCCAGGCCATAATCAACCACTGACAGGATCAGGTGCTGATATAGTGTGAACAGCATTCTCTGCTCTATGTAAATTGCAGCCATAGTCTTAAGTGCACTAAGTCCTTTTTGGCATCTCGTCACAACACTCTCCACATGGTCCTTAAATGACAGGCTCCTGTCAAATGTAATTCCCAGGTACTTCAGTTTGCTCTCTCTGTTGAGGTTTCTACCATCTATCGAGAGACTTGGGACATTAGCTTTAACGATTCTGTTGTCAAGAGAACACCACAAAACAAGCGCATTTTCCGGGTGGACGACAGCCCTCATTTCTGTACACCACTCAGTTACTTTGTCTACTGTCGCTTGAAGCTCCGGGGCTGTTTGTTTCCTCTCTTCCCCCTGCCTATATGCAAGTGAATCATCCGCAAAAGTCAGTATCCTTCTAACTCCTGGTGCTTCTAGGCTTGCAATCCTGCTCGTATACACGTTAAATATCACAGGCGAGATGGCAGATCCCTGTGGCAGTCCTGGGGCCAAAGTGCATGGCTCTGAGGTCCATGAGCCCAGTCGGAGAGCAACCTGAGGTGAATACAGGACAGCTGCAACCCAATTCAACAGCCATGGACTGACCTCCTTCTCCCTCAGTGCAGTCATTAAGATGTCGTATCTCACTCTGTTATAAGCATCCTCGAGATCCAGTCCTACCACCAAAGTTTCTGTAATGGGGGATATTTTCCACTCAGTTTAGGATGGTTGGGGGAA